GAGAGAGAGAGAGAGAGAGAGAGAGAGAGAAGAAAAGAACGAAAGAAAGAAATGAAGACTGCGTGACAAATGTCTGGCCGCGTACATATGTTGTACAACCGCTAACGCGTACAAGTATATCTATACCATTATATAAAATTTTAAAGCTGCGATGAATAATGTAGTTACAGTGTGTAGCCGTTCAATCAGCAGTCATCGGCGAAATATGCTAACTATAGAAATATATTTTAGTACCATTTTTTCATTTGTAGCGAACGCGCCGTTACCCCGTTTCTTAAGTAAGAAAGAATAGCAGTGGCGTATTTAGCTGCATAGCAAACTTAAAAATATAGAAATATGGAATCTGCTCTTAATTGACGTTCTTTATTGTAAGCGCACTATTTCCTGCTGGCATTATTATGTAGATCAGTAGCCATCTCGGCAGCCACTGCTGACTAAAACGGTCAACCAATCCAATGATTTATTGATTGGCAAATTCTTTAAATAGATAAGACTGGTTCTATATGATGCAACCTTACACAAGGAATATATCAATAATTTAAACTATTGGTTTAATTTCATGAAATCGCGATAGTGCGATTGCTATTTTTACCCTCACAGCACCTAGCTATAAAAATCGCTAGTGTATTATATAGTAAATGGCTAAATATTCTAATATTATTTAGTAAGAGAAATGCAAGTCAGTTTATAGATACATGTGATGCGGATGCCTTCTTTAGAATGGCGTTTTAAATGCTACGTTTCATTGCAAGCGTTGTTATGATATTACAACTGGCACTATAGCAGAAATCCATGGTGATTCGAGCATATAGCATTTGTACTAATAAGCGTTCGTGACGTGATGCCAACGTCACCATGCACGTCATTTCTGTTATCCAGATTGAATCGTTGAAGTTACACTCGTCATCATTTTACACAAAGGTTGCATGGACAGGTTTACTCCGGGCTTCATACCGTTATATCGTAGTTTATATTGTATATCGCGACATGTCTATAAAATAGCATTGCCATTTGCTTGTAATGCAGACGACTCAAGGTGAGCATAGCTTAATTATTTGCATATCAACATCGGCTGTACTTTCCTCGTTAGTTCGTAATAAAGTGCATTTGATAGTTACTTTGATTAAACACTTCGATAATGCGTTTAAATAAAGAATATGCTCAATATCAAGAATCGTACGACATACTGTTCCATAATCGTTATGAAATCTAGTACAACATGTTCTGAATATGCCGTTAACCTGGATGCATAAATTCATGAACTATCAAAGATAAAAGTATATACTATGAATGTCGCATGCTAGAACCCAATGTTATTCGTTCGTCGTTGAATTAGAGATATATTCTTACAAAAAACGTTCTCCCACTGCGTACATTTTTAATGAAAATTATTTCCCTATATTTTCTTGGTGTTTCATTCCATATGCCAATCGGCTCTAAGTAAGTAAGTTGTGTAAAATCTCGCACGCACGCATACAAATACACACGCACACACACACATACACATACACACACATACATACATATATACACACACACACACACACACACACACACACACACACTAGTGTGTGTATGTAACTGTAATGATGGTGGTGTGTGTGTGTGTTGTGTGTGTTGTGTGTGTGTGGTGTGGGTGTGTGTGTGTGTATGTAATGTGTGTGTGTGTGTGTGTGTGTGTGGTG